ATGGACTCGTCAAAGGTGACGTCGCGAGAGTGAAAGAAGCGGTGAGACGGCGGGTGGTAGAAGTGCCAGTCGGACGCGTCAAGGGGAAAACCGAGGAAGACGCAGGGAAGGGTGCGGGCAGTGAGCTTGTCCGTGCCGGAGGTACGGACGTGAGCAAGGCAGCCCCAGACGTGGAACGCAGACGCGTCACCAGGAGACCCAGTCCAAAGACGGGTCGGCGAAACCTGCGGCTGCTGGGGGTGCGGCCACAGGTTAAGCTGGTGAGAAGCGTAGCGAACGGCGAACGGCCACAGAAAATGGGGTGCACCGGCATGGATCATGGAGGTGCGAGCCACCTCCATGACCAAACCGATGCGTCGCTCAGCGACCCCATTCTGCTGTGGGGAGTCCGGTAGGGTGAACGTCTGGGTGATGCCCTCCGCACGACAAAAGCGACCAAGGACACCTGAGGCAAACTCGCCATCCCGGTCGGAGTGAAGACGCAAGACAAGGAGACCTCGGTGGACACGGGCAGAGACAAGCCAGGGGATGAGGGCGTCAGGCACGTCGGCCTTCCGCTCCAGGGAAAAGACCGAGGTGTAGCGAGTGAAGTCGTCGACAAGCACAAGGAAGTAGCGCTCTCGACGCGGCCCATGGATGGGGGCGGGGCCCCAGACGTCCATGTGCAGGGTCTGCAGCGGCGCGGCGGTAGGGGGAAACGAGGAGGAGTGAGGGGCACGGCGAAGCCGACCCTCGACGCAAGGCGTGCAAGGTGGGGCTGGGGAGGAGGGAAAAGCGGGGAGAGAACCAGGGAGACCAAGGACGAGACCGTGCTGGGACATGTGACGCAGACACGGGAGCGCAAGGTGACCTAGGCGGTGGTGCCAAAGGAGAGTCGGGTGAGTGAGGGACCGACAGGAGCAGGCAGCAGCAACCTGGGTAGACGCAGCCACCTGAGGGGGCGCCCCAACCGGGGGGGTCACGGTGTCCAGAGTGAACAGGCCTGACACCGGGTCCCGGGGGAACGTGGACAGGTGGGCACCGGTGGCGGCCTCGGTACAGACAGCATACCGCTCATGTCCAGGGAACGTAGTGGTGACGCCAAGGTCCTGGAGGCAGCCGACACCAACTAGGTTCCTGGAGAACGAGGGGATATGCAGACCTGTAAGAGAGCCCGAAGGAACCGCCGGACAGGGAAGGGTGGTGGAACTGCGAGCGACTACCGGACTGCCGGAGGGGTCAGCAAGAGAAACGGCAGCAGGAACAGGAAGCGGCGTCAGTATAGTAGAGTCGCGGAGAAACACCGGGAAGCGCCAGAGTCCAAGGTGAAGGAAAGCGAAGCAGCGGCGTCCTGCAAAAGGGCGACGGTGGAAGCACCAAGGCTACACAAAGCAGGGGACCCTAAGCCTGACGCAGCAGGGGAGGCTAAGCTAGGCACACCTACACTAGACGACAGTGAGTAATAAGCGGGAAGCGCACTAGAGTCATCAGCATGCATCACATGCAGAGCAGAAACAATGGCATCCATGTCCATGTCAAAAATCTGAATACTACGCCTAAGCAAACTGTGCCAATCCGGGAGGTCGGTCGACGGACCGAAACGCTGACGAAACAGGTCGTCCAGGCGACGAAAGCAGCGGGGAGTGGTATGACCGATCTTACCGCAAACGAAGCCGCGGCGAGGACCGGTCTAGATCTGGTACTGACAACGCACGCCTCCCGAACCACCACTCGGCACCCCACCACGCGCCCGACCACCACCAGCGCCAGGCCACCCGGGCGGGAGGACACTCGCCTGCCTCGTCTGCGGCGGCTGCTGCGGCTGCTGCGGAGGTTGCGGCTGCTGCGGCTGCTACTGCTGCTGCTGCGACTGCGGAGGCGGCGGCTCAGCTGGACTGGGCAGGGTCCCCTCGTCCGCTCCAGCACCAGACGACCCGACTCCACCACCACCTCCTCCTGCACCCCCGCCGCCTCCGCCGCGCCCAGCCTTGGGGCGGCGGCCCTTCCCCGAACGAAACTGCGCTGCAGAAGCAGTCTCAGCCACAGCGACAGAGCCGTCGGAGAAGGTACACTGAGCGAGGGCACAACCCTGAAAGATAGGAACCGGTACGGTACCGCTCGCCTGGGCGATGGAGCGGTGGCGGGTCTCGATAACAGTCAGGGTGTCTACGAAGTCGGTGAGGGTGACCTCACCGGGGTGAATGCTAAGGAAGCGGTCGCGGGCGGCGGCAAGGCGGTCAGGGAGGTGGGTGGCAAGCAGGTAGAGGGTAGAGGTAATGGGCGGCTGGTGGGCTCTAAGCTGTGCGTCAGTGCAGGTAGCACGCCAGGTCACATCTATCGAGCGCAGGTGGGCAGCTAGGTCAGAGACAGTGGGGAAAGACGCAAGGTCGGGAAAGAGCATCGGGAGGATCAGGCGACCCACTGAGGCAGCAGGAGGGGTGGAATAGCGCTTGATGACAGCATCTAAGTAAGCCTGGGCCGTAGTGATGGACCTAGAGCGAGGGCGCTCAGGCGGGGGAAGGGCATTGCTAATGGCGAGCTGAGCAACAGCGTCTCGGGAAAGCCAGTCAGAGCGCGCAAGGGCAGCGGCTGCAGTGGACTCGCGCTCGGCGGGTGTGGGGTCAGTGGGCAGCACAGCAAGGGGGTCTGGGCAGGGGAGCGTACCGTCAAGGTGTGCGGAAAGCGGGTGGCCATCCTGCCGATGACCAGTGAGGTGGTGGCGAAGGTCGGCGAGCCACGCCTCGAATTCCATTGGCTGGCCTTCAGCGTCGAAGCGAAGCTCCGCCGCCATCAGGAGCAGTGCAGGACCGTACAGTGCGGTGCAGTGCAGTGCAGGGCAGTGCAGTACGATGCAATGCGGTGCAGTGCGGCGCAGGGCGGTGCAGGGCGATGCAGTGCGGTGCAAGGCGGTGCAGCGTGGTACCGTGCAGTGCAGTGCGGTGCAGATGATGAGGAACCGTACCAGGGAGGTTGCAGGGCCGGGGCAGTGACGACGAGCGGGCCGCACATTGCTCGGGGCAGGACAGGCGCGGGGGCCAGTAGCAGCGGGCAGCAGGCCGACGGGACGGGCGCAGGGCCGGCTGGGACGTGCGGGAAGGCCGGGAGGGCGGGCGCGGGGCCAGCGGGGACGGGCGCCAGGTAGGCGCGGCGGGGCCAGGCAGGGCGCGACGCGGCCGGGCAGGGCGCGACGAGGCTAGGTAGGGCGCGACGGGGCCAGGGGTCGCGCCGGGGCCAGGCGGGGCGCGACGGGGCCGGGCAGGGCGCGACGGGGCTAGGGGGGGCGCGACTGGGCCCAGGATGGGCGCGGCTAGGCTTGGAGGCGCGGCAGGGTCCAGGAGGGGCGCAACTGGGCCAGGAGGCGCGATGGGGCCCAGGAGGGGCGCGACTGGGCTAGGAGGCGTGACGGGGCCCAGGAGGGGCGCGACAGGGCTAGGAGGCGCGGCAGGGGCCCAGGAGGGGCGCGACTGGGCTAGGAGGCGCGATAGGGCCCAGGAGGGGCGCGGCTGGGCTAGGAGGCGCGAAGGGCCCAGGAGGGGCGCGGCTGGGCTAGGAGGCGCGACGGGGCCCAGGAGGGGCGCGACTGGGCTAGGAGACGCGACGGGGCCCAGGAGGGGCGCGACAGGGCTAGGAGGCGCGGCAGGGGCCCAGGAGGGGCGCGACTAGGCTAGGAGGCGCAATAGGGCCCAGGAGGGGCGCGGCTGGGCTAGGAGGCGCGAAGGGCCCAAGAGGGGCGCGGCTGGGCTAGGAGGCGCGACGGGGCCCAGGAGGGGCGCGACTGGGCTAGGAGGCGCGGCAGGGCCCAGGAGGGGCGCGACTGGGCTAGGAGGCGCGAAGGGCCCAGGAGGGGCGCGGCTGGGCGAGGAGGCGCGAAGGGCCCAGGAGGGGCGCGGCTGGGCTAGGAGGCGCGACGGGGCTAGGAGAGGCGCGGCGGGGCCTAGGTAGGGTAGGAGCGGAAGCGGTAGGTGGGGGATCCTAACCTACGCTCTGATACCATATTAAAGTGAGAATAGAATGATGAGTAGAGAGAGAGTACAGGTGAATATACCTAAGTGTCGTACCCTCTAAGAGGTGGCCTTATACAGTCTATGCAAACATAGGAGATACACATGTTTGACACAGTGTTGTCTTTCATGTTATTGTCATTCACTCGTTCACAGTTTCTCCATTGCCCTCCGCGCTACTCGGCAGTCCCATTCATAACAATAATGGACAAAAGAGTTACACCATGTGTGCTCCAAGCAGGGCCCTAGATTGGTTTTGAGGCTTCCTGATCCATCAGGATTCTCCCTGTAGAAAAGTCTGAATTTTCAGGGTCCCCTAAAAAAAAATCCTGAGCCATCAGAATTACTTTAAAAAAAAATACTGATTTTTCAATCTTTCTATACATGTTATAGTTCATGAATTTTGTGTGTTCAAGTCTTGGTTTTTTGGGGTGCTGGGAATTCGTAGCGAATTCGCGCGTGTGGCGAGATTGGGGGATGGGCAGGAAACGACAATTGGTGGGGGGGAGAGGGGGGAAGGGCTGAATAGGGGGGGAGGCGACCAGATTGCAGGGGCGGAGGGAATCTCTTCCCTCGCAGAGCCCTAGGGCAGGCGCACATCAAGCAAATTCGGCCAAGGGCTAGCAATTGCCCTCACACGGTCCTCAGCACACCTCCCTCACATGACCTCCAACATACAACGCGGAGATTTTTTTGACCAAGGACCAATGAGCGCCCTCCCTCACACAGCCTCGGGGGGTGGGGGAAAGTGGGGGGGAGAACCTCGAAATTCTTGACTGCCCCCCCTAGACACGTTAGGAAAGGGCTAAGACCCGCTACAATGCTGAGAAATTCAGGGTTCGCTAAAAAACCTTGCTGAGCGATCAGAGTTTACCCTTAGAAAAAGCCTGAAAAAACAGGGTTTGTCATTTACAAAACCCTGCACAATCAGGGTAAGTACCGAGAAACTCCCTGTTTTTTTCCTGAATCAGGAAAATTTTCCTGACTTCTGGGGGCCTGGCTCCAAGGTAAGTTGACACCAGTTGACTTCAACAAAAATAAACGGCATTATCGAGTACAGGTTAGCAAGAGCAACAAACTGTACACTATTTTACACACACATCACGGAGCTGCTAGATTCCTAGACCTAGTCAGCCCTGGGCAATTTCCCATCTGATGAGGACTAAAACCCAAAAGCAGCAGCAGCAGCAGCAGCAGCAGCCAGAACTCTTCCTTGCTGGGGCCGCGGCAGTGTCCTGCTAATGAAGTGGTTACTCAGCGGGAACCAGGTGCAGCTTCACCCGTTTCCAGTGCTTGACGGAGCTGTGCACGCGCACTTCCTGGGGAGCTGACACCAGCAGCAAGACCGTTCAAGGCAGCGGGCTGCTGGGTGGGAACCAGGTGCAGTACCACCGGTTACCAGTGCTGTGCGTGCCTGTACAGCAAGACCCTTGTAAGGCAAAGGGACTGGCAGGCAGGAACCAGGTGCAGTTCCACCAGTACGTGTACGAGCGGTACGTGCACTTGAGCGCTCTCTGGCTCCACCAGCAACGACTTTTCAGGGCACTGGACCGGACCGCTAGGCACCGGTGCTTGCGCGAGCCATAGCACGTGTACGGCCCTTCTAGGGCAGGGGGCTGGAGGGCGGAAACCAGGTGCAGTTCCACCAGTACTTGTACGAGCTGTACGTGCACTTCCTGGGGCTCTGGCTCCAGCAGCTGGTGGGCGCCAGGCACGTGCTCGTGGCGCACGGCACGCGCGCGCAGCACATGCACTGGCTGTAGCACGAGTCGTAGTTCGTCTGCATCTGCGTCGACGTGCCGCCCAGCGTGTCCCTCGTCGCCATGCACACGTTCTCACACACCGTCTGCTCCACGGCGCAGCACTTCCCCGGGGCGTCGCCCTGCAGAATGGTGCAGTCGCTGTCCAGCGGCTTCCAATTAGGGTATGGGCATGTGCTCCACGTGCACCCGTACCCTGCGGTGGGCGCCAGGCCCACGCGGCTGGTGCACGCAGCGTTGCAGCCGGAGCAGGCGCCATCTTGGATGACGGGCAGCGCGTAGTTGCACAGCGCGTCGCAGTACGATGGGTACGTCACGTAGTCCGCGCCACACACGGGCAGCGACGCCGCGCACCCGCAATCGAGAATCCCAACGCGCGCGTCGCAGGGGATGATTAGAGTGGAGTTGGCGGTCAGAGCAGACGTCTCCAGGATGTTGTTGGCGGCGGCAATGGAGGCGGGCGAGACGGAGGAGGAGGTGCAGCGCGTTATGAACTTGGACGAGATGAGCGCCAGCGAGTCGCCGGGGAGCACCGTGTACAGCGAGTACGAGGTGTTGGATGTGGTGAGGAGGGAAGCAAGGAGGGGCGAGTTGATGCAGACCTTCTGGCCCACTTGGAGGTACGGCGCCTGGCACTGTAAGGGGGATGGGGTGGAGAGCACGGACAAATGCACAATCAAGAATGCGCTTGGGAGAGGAAGGCTGGCTGGAAATAGAGCAGCGCTTGGGAGAGGAAGGCTGGCTGGAAATAGAGCAGCGCTTGGGAGAGGAAGGCTGGCTGGAAATAGAGCAGCGCTTGGGAGAGGAAGGTTGGCTGGAAATAGAGCAGCGCTTGGGAGAGGAAGGCTGGCTGGAAATAGAGCAGCGCTTGGGAGAGGAAGGCTGGCTGGAAATAGAGCAGCGCTTGGGAGAGGAAGGCTGGCTGGAAATAGAGCAGCGCTCGGGAGAGGAAGGCTGGCTGGAAATAGAGCAGCGCTTGGGAGAGGAAGGCTGGCTGGAAATAGAGCAGCGCTTGGGAGAGGAAGGCTGGCTGGAAATAGAGCAGCGCTCGGGAGAGGAAGGCTGGCTGGAAATAGAGCAGCGCTTGGGAGAGGAAGGCTGGCTGGAAATAGAGCAGCGCTTGGGAGAGGAAGGCTGGCTGGAAATAGAGCAGCGCTCGGGAGAGGAAGGCTGGCTGGAAATAGAGCAGCGCTTGGGAGAGGAAGGCTGGCTGGAAATAGAGCAGCGCTTGGGAGAGGAAGGCTGGCTGGAAATAGAGCAGCGCTTGGGAGAGGAAGGCTGGCTGGAAATAGAGCAGCGCTCGGGAGAGGAAGGCTGGCTGGAAATAGAGCAGCGCTTGGGAGAGGAAGGCTGGCTGGAAATAGAGCAGCGCTTGGGAGAGGAAGGCTGGCTGGAAATAGAGCAGCGCTCGGGAGAGGAAGGCTGGCTGGAAATAGAGCAGCGCTTGGGAGAGGAAGGCTGGCTGGAAATAGAGCAGCGCTTGGGAGAGGAAGGCTGGCTGGAAATAGAGCAGCGTTCGGGAGAGGAAGGCTGGCTGGAAATAGAGCAGCGCTTGGGAGAGGAAGGCTGGCTGGAAATAGAGCAGCGCTCGGGAGAGGAAGGCTGGCTGGAAATAGAGCAGCGCTCGGGAGAGGAAGGCTGGCTGGAAATAGAGCAGCGCTTGGGAGAGGAAGGCTGGCTGGAAATAGAGCAGCGCTTGGGAGAGGAAGGCTGGCTGGAAATAGAGCAGCGCTCGGGAGAGGAAGGCTGGCTGGAAATAGAGCAGCGCTTGGGAGAGGAAGGGGAAAGGTGGAGAGAGAGGGGCCGATGAGGCGGTGGATGAAGGCGAAACGAATCATGATGACGGCGAGGAACGCCAGGAAAAGCCAGGATTCATTCGTGTGCTCACCCTGATGCCCGGGTTGATGGCAAGGAATGTGGATTCCGTGAGGTTGGCAGCGTTCCAGATGTTGGGGCAGTTGTCGCCCTGCAGCACCGCGTACCACGCCGTGCAGTTCACCGCGGTCTGAGGGGCAAACACGACACGGAGAGGAAGGAAGAGGGCGGATGGCAGTGAGAAAAGAGCACTGCAGCACTGTGTGCCGCGCGCTGCAGTTGGCCGTGGTCTCAAAGGAAGGAGGGAAAGGAAGGAGGGATGGGAAGGAGGGATGGGAAGGAGGGATGGGAAGTGGAACCATTGAGGAAAGGGCGGAAGAGGTAAGATCAGAGTTACACATCCACTGGAAAGACTGCCCTCTTAAAACAGCTAAACAGCGGCTCCAGCTGAAGAACAGAGGATCAGTGCACGTCACACTCCCATTCACGAAACCAACCTGAGAGCTCTTGGGTGCGACGCACACATACGACCCGACAGGAATGCTGGTGGCACACGAGAGCGCGTTGTTCAGCGCCATGAAGCTGCTCAGGCTGATGGCGAACTTGGTCGCCACGGACGGGCACGTGTCGCCCGCCACCGCCGTGTACGTCTGCCCGCACTGGGGCACGTCCACAGCGGACGCGGAGGAGAGGGTGGTGGTGGCGGTGCAGATGATCTGCGCAGGGTAAAGGTAGAAGCGCGCCGTGGTGCACGTGAGGGGGTTGGCGGCGCGCAGGGCGGCGAGACTGCCGCTGAAGAAGGTGGAGGCGAGGGAGGAGCACGTGTCGCCGGGCTGGACGGAGTACGTGGCGATGCAGAGCGGTGTGGAGGGGGACGAGGAGGAAGTGGCGTTGGAGACGGAGAGGAGGAAGCCCGGGGGGAGGAAGGCGAGCGCGCAGTTCACAAAGGGGTTGAGCGCGGCGAGGGCGGCCGTGCTGAGGCCGAAGGCGGCGGCCACGGAGGAGCACGAGTCGCCGGGCACGGTGGGGTAGGCGACGGCCGTGGTGGTGCTGCTCGCCACGCCCACGCACGTCTGCGTGCCATCTGACGACGCTCCTATGGCGTAGCCCTGCAAGGAGTGGGGGGGGACGGCGAGGGAGAAGGGAGGAGTGGAGGGATGAGTCGCCGGGAAGTGTGAGGGCAGGCGACGGCCGTGGCGGTGCTGCTGGCAATGTCCCCACAGGTTTGTGTGCCGTCTGACGCTGCCCCTACGGTGTAGCCCTGCAGTTCGGAAGGGTGAGGCAGGGAGGAGTGGAGGGATGGGAAGACGTTGAGGGGCGAAGGACAATTGCAGGTTGGCTGTGGGAATCATTGTGTGGGATGGGAAGGGAGAAGAGGCGAAGGGGAAAGGGGGGAAGAGGGCATGAGACCCAGCAAAAAGGGCACAGTCGGTTGCACTCGCTGTAAGTTGCTGGACTACTCACAGCGGGGCACTGGCACGAGTAGCTTCCATCTCCGGGGTTGACACACGTGCCGCTGCCGCACGGGTTATTCAGCCCGCGGGTGGTGCAGGGGTTGCGCGCCACGCACTTGCTAGTGGGCACGCCCGCCACCTCCACCATCCCCGCCAGCCCACTGCAGTCGCACCGCGCCATGCCCGCGCGCGTGTAGCAGCGCCCCGCGCCGCACGGGTTGATGCCCGAGCACGCGTCGAGCGAGGTCGGGTAGAGGCGCATCCACCAGCGGCCGTCGTAGCCGTCGTCGGCGCGCGTGATGGGGCCGTTGGAGATCTTCACCGGCTGCGGCCCGCTCGGGTAGTACACCGGGTACATGGCGGGGATGCTGGGCACAGCAGCGGCGGTGGGGGGGGGGGGGGGGGGGGGGGAAGATGGTGGGAGAATGAGAAGTGGGCCGGCGGAACGCACGCGCTGAGGCGGGAAGGAAAGAGTACTCACGCGTGGATGCCGCACTTCCCGCGCACGTCGGGCGACATGGCGAGGTACATGTAGCCGGCGTCGCCCCACGTGTTGAACCACGAGTTCTTAAGGATCCAGTAGCTGCCCGCCAGGCCCGCGCCCGTGTAGTTAAAGCCCACCACCAGCACCGCGTGGTTGATGTCCGTCGTGCACAGCCCGTCGTAAATTTTCAGCTGCCCGCGCGAGTTGTACTGCTGGAAGTCCTGCGCCGACGCGCTGAGGAACGCCACCACCGGCTGCATGCTCACCGCCTTCATCAGCGCCGCCGCGCTGTACGGCGGCACCAGCTCCCACCCCGTGATCTGCGGGGGACACCACGCATCGAGGTGGGACGAAGGTACTAAATGAAAACAAGCGCATTGTGCGGCGGGAAAGGGGCATTCGGACGACGTAGACGTGGTTACTGAAGTAAACGCGAGCGGTTGACCAAGGAAGGAGCCATGCAATCCACGACACTCGCGACAACGGACAAGGAACAAACAGGACCCGAACGTTGTAGACGGTCTAACTAGGTCTATATAGGTATCGAGGCCTGGTTGCTTGAGATGATTCCTAATGGCATGCAATTGAAATTGGAGCACTTCGCGTGACTGACCTGAGCAGTGGTTGGTGTAAACAAGGTAGCCTGACACACTGCACTGTCGTTCGCCATGTAGGGGTAGTTATCCACTGAAGTGATGCCGCCATTAAAGAGTACGAACGAAAAGGCCCAGTCGGGCCAACCGCCCTGGCAGCACTGCTTCGTGCCGCAGTCGCACACCTGCCACACACGCGAAACGAAACATCAAAATGAGAACTACAGTAATATGCACACTGCATCCACATACAAATCGTTTACGTAAATGTACAGCTTGTGAGGGTTTGGGGTAAATCTGCAAATGGTGAAGCAACGCTCTCACGCACCTGCTGCGGGGAAAGCACGGCTGGGAGCGAGTTGGTGTTGATCGCCCACATCATGGAGATGGAATCAACGGCTGCGATCGCCCAGCAACTCGCGCACTGCAACGAGGGAATAGAATCAAAATACGGGTAAAGATATTGCATAGCAGCAATGCAATGTGGCGTTGCATAGCAGACGAGAAAAATGTGGCGACAATAAGCTGCATTTTGCCTCGTTTTCACCTCCGCGGTGCAAACGAGCGTATCTCCCGCCACCACGACTGGAGGTGCTGCATGTTACCTGGTACTGGCGCTGGATGGGCGAGATGTACATCGTCTGACGCCAGTCCACCACCGCATTCGGCGTGACGGATTCGAAACGGAAAAAGGTATTGTTGACGTCAGCCATGCTGGGCCCCGAGTTAAGCGGCGGGGGATTCAGTCCGAACATTTTTTTCGCCGTATCCTTCAGAAGTTGGCGACGAGAGCCGTCCCCGTCGCCAATGTCGCCGCTCTCGCCATCGTCGTCCGGCAGCGCGTCTTTCTGCCTCGCTGCTCTGTAGATCGCTTTGAGTTGGGGGCTCAACTGCAGGGTTTCCGTCAATGCCTGCTCGTATCGCGTTAGAACGACATTGCTTATCGAGTGCGACGCGGCGATGGCGAGGGACAGTCCGCACGCGAGAAATGCGGCGACGACGAGAGGAGAGCCTCTCCTGCAAGAGCGTGCGGTACCCATTTTAGAATGTGCTACGCGTGAAGGTTAGCGGTGTGCTCCCGTGAAGAAGACTGCGACCACAGAAATGTTGAGTTGGAGCGGAGTAAACGGAAGGCGCACAACACCTCAACAACTCGAGAAGCTGAGGAACCTGTGTTTCAGGCTGTTCTAACCCAAGACCTGCGATAATTTTAGCTTTCAAGCGGTTGAGAAAACCAGCTAAGGCGGTGGGTGAAACAAGGACTGGTACTGGTGCTGCAGGGCGGATTTGGATTGCAGCTTGCGTGGAGTCCCATCCCATGTGCAAATTTTTGGCACATGCGGCTCGGCGGCAGTTGGACTGTTTCGCCACATCGTTGTAACCAGCAGCATTTGCTGCTTGTGTCACGCAGCGAACCCTATGTCGGGGATATGCGCTGCCAGGCAGTTGTGGCGTTCTCCACGCGTCAGCTCTTCATACGCCGTTAGCCCTGCAGTGATGTCAGTTTCATGTTCCTGCGGCGGGGCTGGGGCAATTGAAGGGGCCGACAAAGCCTGTCTGGTTTGGGCCGCCAACAGGCACATGCTGCTTCGCTGTGCTCTTATGTCGGTTGGGCGTTTCATCCACACGCACGTGTCTGTTAGGTGCGCTTTGAGAACGAGCTCTATCGGTTCAGGCACTCAAGTCCCGCCCGATACAGTGCAAACCTGAGTTCTTACAAAATTTCAATGGTAAGAACCTTAGTGAGTGCAAATGCAAACATTGGAATTCTGCATCACAAGATGGCAGCAACGGTAGTCAACAACCGCAAGTGAACTCCAAATGCAGAATTCTGAAAATGGGTGGGTAGAAAAAAGCTGTACAAATCCATCTGCCATGCCAACAGTGGCACCAGAGGGACAAAAACCAGGAAAAAACAGCCAATCACAGCTGCAGCACTTCAGCCAATCACAGCTCGAGCACCACACAGCTGATGACGACATCCGAGGGGCACCCCACGCCATCGATCCTGCGAGTGAGCAGCACCCCATCACACCGCATCGCATCCTCCACCCCCACCACCACCATCGACAGCCCCCGCCCTATCACGTACAGGCGCCCCCGAAACCCTAAAATGCGGCACGGGGGGGTCAGCAGCGCCGGGGACAGCCGGCCAATCGGGCGCCACATCTGTGCCACGTCATCGTACACGGCCAATCTGATCCCTCCGATCTGATCCAGCATGTACAACCGATCATCTAGCACCGTCGATGGGCCATGCCAGGCGGCAGGAAGGTTCCCAGAAAGCGGGGACCAGGAGTTGGAGGTGAGGGAGAAGGCCACTGCATCGGGGCCGGGGCGCGAGTGCACGCAGCGCATGTGGCGCAGCAGTAGACGGTTGGCGAGCACTGCTGCGTCCTCCAGGTCACACTCGAACGGGAGAGGGGCAGCTGACGTCCACCTGGGGGGGGAAGGGGGAAGGGGAGAGGGGCAGACAGGCATGGCTGGCCAGCACTGCTGCATCCTGCATGTCGCACTCGAATGTAAGGCGGGCTGGCGAGGTCCATCTGTGTGGGGGGGGGAGGGGAAGAAGAGATCCGAGGGCAAGGCGCAAGGGACAAGGATAGAAAGGCGAAAGAAGAAAAAAGGAAGGGGGGCTCAGACATTGCGTTACATGTGGCACGGCTGCGGGTGCTTCTGCTGTCCCATGCTGCACCTACCTGTCCTCTTGAGGGTTGTACACTTGAACCAATGTGAGCAGTGCCGTGTTACTCGCTCCCACGGCTCCCTCCCATCTCATCACTCTCACCACCCTGCAATAACCTGTCCCACTGTGTTTGCTTTACCCATCTTCTTAAGGGCTGTAAGCAGGAAAGAGTTGCTGGCCCCCATGCGTCCCTCCCAGTACTTGCATCCCATGTTATGCTGGTTGCTCTACCTGTCCTCCTGCGGGTTGTACACTTCAACCGATGTCAGCAGAGATGTGTTGCTGGCCCCCATGCCTCCTGCCACCACCAGCCGCTCACTCGCCCACTCCCCTGCCACCTCACCAACCCTCCACTCTCTCCCTCTCCCTCCCTCTGCACCCCTCGCCTCCTGCCCTCCGCTGCTTGAATCGCCCCCTCCTCTCCCTCCAACCCTTCCATTTTCCTTCACTCTGCTCCTCTCTCTCTCCCCCTCCCCATCCCTTACTACTTCACTCTCCCCCTCCCCCTCCCCTTGTCTCTCCATCACCCGTTCTCTCCCCCACTCTATAGACCTGTCCGCACCCTCCCTAACCCGGCCCTCCCCTGGCAGCCGCACTGCCGCATCGGTACCCCTGTTCCCCCCGGCGAGCTGCACTGCCCCCGCCATGCAGTAGCAGCGCGGGAACGCCAGGTCCGCCACTCGGTGCCACTTGTTGGCCGGGGGGTTGTACCTGGGAAGAATCATCAACGCACTCACGAATAGACAGAGGACGGGGTGGGAAAGAAGGGGGGAGAGGGTGGGGGAGGGGGGGTGGGTAGAGGGGTCGAGTGGGGTGTAATAGCCGTGGGGAAACGCCATGTCCGCCACGCAGCGCCATGTACCTGAGGGGGCTGGGGGACGGGGGAGGGGGAGAGGGAGATTGCAACTGTGCAGTAGCAGCGGGAGGCCAAGCACACACAGATAGAGAGCGATATATGGGAAGGGGAGGTACGGCTGTATATTAGTAGTGGAAATCACCATGTCTGCCACTCAGTGCCATTTGTTGGCGGGGAGGCTGGACCTGGAGAGGTGGGGTGGTTGATTCACAACCAGATGAAGAGACAACGAGGACCAGTGCGAAGAGGCGAGTGGGGAGGGAGAATGGCAGCAGGTTACATGCTGGTTCCTACATCCCCCCCCCCCTCCTTCCCCTCCCCCCCCAAACATAACCCCCCATAACCACCCCCCCACCATAACCCCGTCCCCTCCCCCCCCCCCTCTCGCTCCCCACCTGTACACGTGTTGTCTGCTGGGTTTGAGCCACCCCGCGCCCCCGATCACATAAAGGTTGCCTTGGCAGGCTGCGCAGGCCAGCCCATACGCCTTGCTGCAGTCAGAGGGCATGCGTGGCACGTCATGCCACGTGGCAGTCTGCAGGTCCAGCGCATGCCACCACAACCGGTCCGAGCTATCGCGCGACAGCACGTACAGCCACCCTCCTGCACGTTCCTGTGTCGCCGCATCTTGTAATACAAGGGGGACTGCGGTACGTGTTGGAAGGGGAGGGGGGGAGAGAAGGGGGGAGAGGGAAGGGGGAAGGGGGGAGCATGGAGCATGGGGAGCAAATGCCGTTTACATCAGAAAGCACAAGAGGTGTCTCTGGCTCTCAAGGCAGCACGTACAGCTACCCTTCCTGCACGCCCCTGTGGCGCCACGTTTTGTAGTACAGGGGGGACTGGGAGAGGGAAAGAGCATGGAAGCGGGGGGAGGAACATGGTGAGATTTCTCGCAATAGCATGTACTGCCGCCCCTCCTACCCACCCCTGAGGGGGACTGTGGTGGGTGTCGGGAGGGGAGAGGGTAGGGGGGGGGAGCAGGGAGCACGGAGAGCAGATGCCGTTTGGATCAGGAAGAGCAGGTATTTTTGGGTGGTGAGACAGCACGTGCAGCCACCCCTCTTGAACCCCTCTGCCGCGTCTTGTAGTACCAGGGGGACTGGGGAAGGTGGGTGGGGGAGAGGGAGAGGGAGATGGGACGGAGAGGTGGGGGGGAGGGAAGAAGGAGGATGGAGAGCGTCTAGTCAAGAGACAACACACACACACAGCCACCCTTCCTGCACGCCTCAGTGTGCCGCATCTTGTAATACAGGGGGACTGCGGTAGGTGTTGGGTGGAGGGGAGGGGAGGGGAGGGGAGAGAGGGGGTGGGCATGGAGCACGGAGAGTTGATGGCGGCTGAATCAGGCAAGGCAGGCGTCGTTGCGCCGTGAAACGGCACGTACAGCCAGCCACCCCTCCTGCCCGCCATGTGTCGCGTCACCACACCACCAGCATATGCTACCGACATGCCTCATGCCTCATGCCTCATGCGCCATGCGTCATGCGTCATGCGCCATGCGTCATGCGTCATGCGTCATGCGCCATGCGTCATGCGTCATGCGTCATGCGCCATGCGTCATGCGTCATGCGTCATGCGTCATGCGTCATGCGCCATGCGCCATGCGTCATGCGTCATGCGTCATGCGTCATGCGTCATGCGCCATGCGTCATGCCTCATGCCTCATGAGTCATGCGCCATGCGTCATGCGTCATGCGTCATGCGTCATGCGTCATGCGTCATGCGTCATGCGCCATGCGCCATGCGTCATGCGTCATGCGTCATGCGTCATGCGTCATGCCTCATGCCTCATGCCTCATGCGTCATGCGTCATGCGTCGGGGCTCTGTCCGAGCGGGGCGGTCTTCTCGCCGCACCTGGATGAGCTCGTTCCACCGCCGTGAGACGCGCCGCATGGCGCGGTGCTCCTGGCGCGGCAGCCGCAGCAGGCACTCCGTCGCCAGGTCGTCCGGCAGCCCCGGGATTAACGGCGCCGGCTCCGCCTTCGAGCCTACTGCCAATCCCGCTTGCGTCGCTACTCCCGCGTTGGACGCTATTCCAACGGCTGATGGCCCCTCCGCAATTGACGCTGATCCCGCAGCGGTTGACGCTAACCCGGGGAGCGCTGCTGGGGGATTTGTCAAGGAAGGCGGGGAAGGGTGGCAGGAGGGGGGACGTGGCAGGGGATGCGGGGACGGAGGGACGCGCGTGAGGACAGGCATCGTCGCACGCGTCACGAGCGAGATGCTTGAATTTTAAACAATGGCTTGTGTCCCATGGGATGTGTGTCGCATGGCAACAGCTGCATGGCGTAAGCATCTACTCGCCTTACAAATTCCACCACATGCGGCTTTAATTTCTATGGCATGTGCGCCCCAACCTGCATAGCGAAAAGAAACTCCCGGTCTCACCATCCGTCGCATCTCTTCGCAACGGCATGTTTCCACTCGATACGCGCCCTCCCTGTGATTCCGGTCTCTGGTCCGCCGAGCTTGGCCTCGCAACGGACGACGCGTCAGCGGTTGACGTGGAAAAAACACGTGTATTGGACGCGCGGTCTAAAGTTTCCGCTGCGTCGATTGAGCTTATGGCACCCATGGCGTTATTCCGTGGTCCCTTGAGGTCGCGCATAGCCCGGTTCGTTGAAGCAAGGGCGAATCCCTCTGGAGCGAAACAAAATCTAAGACATTCAGCCAACGGCCAAACTAAGCAAAATATACGTGTTGAACTTAGTCGTGCAGCCAGGGGGGTGGATTGAACGTTACAAGGAAGAATCGAAGTCAGTAGAATCGAAGAAATCTGACGAAAGGAAGGATGACGGGCTCTACACCACAAGCCAGAGGCAGGAAGGACATGAGTGGAATGAGCCGCAGAAGGATGTGTCGCCAGCTGCTTCAGGCGAGGGGTGGAAAGAGCCAACAGCAGCCATGGATGCGAGGAAAGGGTGCAAGTGGCAGGTTGGAGACAACACGCATACGCGATAATTCGTCATAGTTTACGTTTGAATCCGTTTGAACCTACACGTTGATTTCTATTTCCATACGATACCTGCTTGTCCGTTCAAGTGCGAGCATTTATTTATTTTATTAATTTTATGTTAGATTGCAGTACATATATTAGGATTAGGATTAGAGCCTCCACAACTGCTGCCGTTTTTTTACCAGTGAACAGATTGTATTGGAACGGGTACAAAATCTGGACAAAAACTGCCTCTTCCAGAATCACACAATCCTCTGCTCTCCCATGCAGTAGTCCCATTTATTCCTTGATCGCCACATTCGTCGCCTCGACTGCAGGCGATCTGACTGCACATGCGGATGTCGTGCGATCGCAACGAGTATACCCCGTCCATGTAACACGACGCGACACTAGCCTTTCGTTTAGCCCTCCGTCTTCGCTGCAAATGACTCCAGTGCGACCGTTACCGCCGCCCTCATCCCCGCTATACGCACGTCCCTCAATCTCTCCTCGAATCGGCTGCGTCCACTCACCATGTAGCCTCGTCGAAGCTTCCTCTCGCCAGCCTTGTATTTGCTACCACCCATCGGGGCATGAAACCACTATTCAATCCGAATTTCGTCGTACTCGTTATTACAAGCCCCGATATAGCAGAGGCTCGCCACAAGGAGACATCAGCCTGGCGTCTTCCTTCCTTCGTGGTTCCACTGGCATTGATTTGAAATTCCTAGGCTCCGCCAATCGCGGCGCCAACAGCCCAAGGCGTGCGGGTGAACGGGAGGAGTATCACACGTCAGGCGCCACAGGAGAGCACTGCGTGGTAAAGTCACGCTGTGCCCTTCCCCACCCTGATAACGATGATAGCCGTAAAAGGACACCATGCCCCCAAGAGATCTCCGGTTCGAACCCTGTTGTCGACGGTATTTCGATTGACGAAAAAGCACCACCGTCAACGTCAGCGCAAAGCCCTGGAATCAGCAAGCTTTCTCCACTGGCTCAGCTCGTCTCATCCTCAGTTAGGCAGTCGTTATGGGCGGCAGCGTTTGGCATCTTGCTGCTAGCAGGAGCTCGAGCTGCTGTAGCGCAGACGGACGGCCACGTCAGCATGGCCAATAGTAACAAGCACTCCGTTACAGTCACTGCTACCACTACAGACAGTGGCGGTGGAAAGGAGCTGCTGGCGAGGGAGGTGGAGAGGAAAGGGGGCGTGTTGCAGAAAAGGGAGCAGGAGGAGAGGAGGGAAGTGAGGGAGGGGGCAGAAGGGCGGGAGGAGGAGAGAGGGGAGGGGGAGGAGGAGACTGGGGAGGAGGAGGAGGAGAGGGGGAATGCCGAGGAGGACGCGAGAATGGCGCGGGCGTACAGCCGGTGGCTGGAGAAGCCGGCGAGTCTCAGCGTGCCGCTGAGAGTGGTGGCGCTGCGAGGCACCGTGCCCAGCATGTGGCGGAAGGTGAGCGGTGCTGAGGGGTCGAGAGGGAGTGAGAGGGATCGAGAGGGGAGGAGGCGTTTTCAATAGAGAGTCACAGTCGGAAACGCCATCTCATCGCCTCTTCATTCTCCCTCCCCCCCCCCCCCCCCCATTTCGCCCTCTCCACTCGTGCATGCCCTCACACTACCGCTCCCCTCAAATCTTCGTTCTCTCCATGCCCCACCTGCCCCGCCTGCCACTGCTCCGCCTGCCCCCCTGCCACTGCTCCGCCTGCCCCCCTGCCACTGCTCCGCCTGCCCCCCCTGCCACTGCTCCGCCTGCCCCCCTGCCACTGCTCCGCCTGCCCCCCTGCCACTGCTCCGCCTGCCCCCCCTGCCACTGCTCCGCCTGCCCCCCTGCCACTGCTCCGCCTGCCCCCCTGCCACTGCTCCGCCTGCCCCCCCTGCCACTGCTCCGCCTGCCCCCCTGCCACTGCTCCGCCTGCCCCCCTGCCACTGCTCCGCCTGCCCCCTTCACTTTTTCCCCTGCAGGACTTCCTCGTCTCCCAGTCGCCCCTCGCGAAGCTCGCCCTGGATGTGCGCCCCTCACATGCCGCCATCGCCAACGACCTCCTCGCCCCCCTCGCCTCTCAACCACCCGCCTCCTCTCAACCCGCTGCCCCCACCCCCTCCGCCAAGCGCAAGAAGAAGCCCCCCCCGCCGCCCTCCCTGCGCTCCGCAGCTGCGGCTGACATTGTCACTGTGGGGGATAGGTGAGTGGGCTTGTAAAGGGTACGAGTGGGGGCTTGTAAAGCGGACAAGTTAGTGGGCTTATAAAAGGGACGTGTTTAGGGCGCTTACGAAGGAAACAGGTTCGTGGGCTTTAAATGGGACACGGAGTGGACCAGTCTAGGGGACAGGTGAGTGGGCCTGGGGAGTGGGCTTGGGGAGTGGGCTTGGGGAGTGGGCTTGGGGAGTGGGCTTGGGGAGTGGGCTTGGGGAGTGGGCTTGGGGAGTGGGCTTGGGGAGTGGGCTTGGGGAGTGGGCTTGGGGAGTGGGCTTGGGGAGTGGGCTTGGGGAGTGGGCTTGGGGAGTGGGCTTGGGGAGTGGGCTTGGGGAGTGGGCTTGGGGAGTGGGCTTGGGGAGTGGGCTTGGGGAGTGGGCTTGGGGAGTGGGCTTGGGGAGTGGGCTTGGGGAGTGGGCTTGGGGAGTGGGCTTGGGGAGTGGGCTTGGGGAGTGGGCTTGGGGAGTGGGCTTGGGGAGTGGGCTTGGGGAGTGGGCTTGGGGAGTGGGCTTGGGGAGTGGGCTTGGGGAGTGGGCTTGGGGAGTGGGCTTGGGGAGTGGGCTTGGGGAGTGGGCTCCGTGTGCTTGCATGATGCCCGCCTTACCTGCCGACCTCTGGCTCCATCCTCCCCGTTCTCTGTGTGATCCCCCCCCCCGCCCTGCCACCCCTTCCGTTCAAGCTCAGCCGACCAACCCATCCCCTTCCCCTCCGCCCCCCACCAGGTGGGTTTTGAGTTGACTAGAGAACCACCTCAGCCGGCCCATCCCCTTCCCCTGCCCCCCCACCAGGTGGATCAAGGCGTTGATAGCTCAGGGAGCCCTCTTGCCCCTGGATGGCGTGGAGCGATCTGATTGGTTCAGGGCACTAGGGCCCACATGGCTGGTGAGTGGGGCCCACGTGGCAGCACAGGCACCACATGCAACACATGCACCACATGCAACACATGCACTACATGCACCACATGCAACACATGCACCACATGCAGCACGTGCACTACATGCACCACATGCATCACATGCATCACATGCATCACATGCACCGCATGCACCACATGCCGCACAAACATGAACAGCGTCCAACCCTCACCCATTCCCCATCCCCTTGTGCGCAGAGGCTGCTGGACCGCACGCCATCCGGCGACCTGGCGCTTCTCAGTCCGCTGCAAACTGCCAGCAGCAGCAGCAGCAGCAGTGGGGAGGGCGAGGAGGCGTTGCTGAGAGGCAAGGTGTATGCGGTGCCGTACCGCATGGGGTACCTGGCAGTGGCGTGGCGGGCAGATAAGCTCAAGCAGCAAGGCATCAAGCCCATCCAGGTGCAGAGGGAGGGAGTCAGCACACACCATGCCATTCCCCGGCCTGCCCACTCCCCCACCCCTTTCTTTTCCATGCGTGCAAGAGATCGCGGCTTTACGCACTTTCCTTCCTTCACAAGCCTCCTCCCTCCAACTCGCCCGTTCCGCCTCCCTCTGCCAACCCCCAACCCCCCCCCCCCCCTCCCCTCTTGCTCGCTTCCCCTCCCTCCCCTTTTAGACGTGGAGTGACCTCTGGCAGCCAGCGCTGCGTGGACAGGTGGCAGTCATTGATTCGCCGAGAGAGCTGCTGGCAGTGACAATGAGGTGCGGCGATGGGGGGGGTCGTGCGGGGATGCAGGATGTGGATGGTGGGAGAAAGGGGGAGGTGGCGTTGGTGCTGCCTCGATACGACACGCTAAGATGTCAGTGATGCTGTGTGGCGTTTGAGTTGTTCTGCTGGGATGCTGCCATTGGACGAAGGAAAGGTTGCATGCTTTCAACCAACCAGATAGGATCCTGGCTGCGCACAGAGGAGAGGGGTCTGGTTGCGCACAGACGCCCATCTTTTCCCTTCCCTTCTCCCTTCTTCCCAACCCTGTCCCACCCCGCACAGGTCTCTGGGTGCAGCATTCACCCCTGGGTGCCCTCTTGACTCGCATGTACTTGAACGCGCTTTGCCCCTTCCCCCTCGCCCCCTGCTCCTCCCCTCGCAGGTCGCTGGGAGCGCCCTTCAACCCCAGCAGCCCGCTAGACGCGCACGTGCCCGGAGGGATGGCGGCGCTCAAGGGCAGGTGGCACGCTCTCATGCGCCAGGTACGCTGACGTGGCAAGACTTCTGGGCAGACTGAGATGGTGACATGGCAAACAGATGGTGATGCAGGAGTTGTCCCGTGGAGAGCCGAGCAGCTGCGGAGAGGACCACAAGGCCCTCTGGAAGCCGTGGATGCAGCACCGCTTAAACACAGTGTTAAAAAGGGTTTGCTTGCGAATGGTAAGCTGCCTCACTGAGGTCTGTTTTTGACCTCCAAGCCACTGGCGGCCGCTGGACTTGAAGTGCGCCTGCAATCTGGGACAGCCCAACACACACAAGCAAGAGTTCCTGATCAGACGATTTATACTCCAACCTTTCCCAGCTTCAATCCGTCTGTCATCTAGAGCTGTCGATCTGCAGTTTTCACGATCGCAGGTTTGTGGTCGCTGGATGTGTCAGTTTCCAATCGTACGGTCCATAATCCAACCGAACCCCCTTCCCTTCGATTTGTCTCGCCACTGCCACCCTCTCCACTCACCCCTCACCTTCTTTCAGCGAAGGTTTCCGCGAAACCACTCACGAGATTTTTTCTGTTGTGACTCACAAAGGCTGCCCACGAGTTCAAACGCACCGCGTTTGAGCAATTTGGGCTGCGGGCTTGAAGCTGGAATAGCAGCACCACACAAGTCATTTCAATGCGTCTGATGCACGCTCTCTATTGTGCCTCGTAGCACAGCCTTGTCCATCTGATGCAGTTTCAGCAGCACAACTATCGTTGTCTCTCTCTCCCCATCCCCCGCCCCTCCCTGCCATCCCTGCCCTCAGGTGCGCGTGTGCGACAGCAGCAACTACCTCAAGGCCTTCCAGGCATCAGACGTGCTGGTGGTCGTGGGGTGGTCCTCTGACCTCCTGCCCTTCGCCCGCCGCAACTCCAACATCACCGTTGCCGCCCCTGCAGACGGCACTCTTCTCTTTGCTGACCTATGGGTGAGTGCCATGTGGCATTCTTTGCCTGTCCTCAATCTGCATCCATGTGCATCCATGTGAATCCATGTGCATCCATGTGCATCCATGTGCATCCATGTGAATCGATGTGCATCCATGTGCATCCATGTGCATCCATGTGCATCCATGTGCATCCATGTGCATCCATGTGCATCCATGTGCATCCATCTGTTTCAGGATGAGCCGCATGTCATCAATACGTGTCAATCACAGCTGGCCTGTACCCAACCACACTTCACTAAGCGTGCTACAGGCTGACGTCTGCAGACGCCTGTCTGCATACGCCACACATCAATCTGTATCTGTTCTGAAAGCTCATTCCCTCTATCCACCCCCCCCCATCCCCCCCCCAGGCCGTGCCTGCTACAGCCCGCTACAACATTCCCAAGGCTGCCTGGCGCAACCGAGGGCCCTCCCCCCTCATCGGGCAGTGGATGAAGTTTTGCCTGCAGCCCGCCCGCGCAGTGCCCCTGCAGCGGGAAATCTTCTCCGCCTTCTCCCCCACCCTCCTGCCCTCCTCTCACCCTCTGCTTGCAATGGATCCCGCTGACAAGGCGAGCACCAAGGCTCACAGTACCACCACTAGCACCACCACGAGCCCCAGCAGCACCACGGGCCCCAGCAGCACCACGAGCCCCAGCAGCACAAGCAGCAGCGATGGCAGTGGGCTGCCGGCGCCAGCCATCCTGGCAGTGAGTGAGTTCCTGGAGCCACTAGATGGCAGGGCGCAGGAGGAGCTGAATGTGGTGCTGCAGGGTGGGGAGAGGGGGGAGGGCGGGCAGGGGAAGCAAGGGCGAGTGAGACAGGCGCTGGAGGCTGTTGGATCAGCCCTGGGTGTGGCGAGGAGACGAGAGTGATGCAGGGAAGTGGTGCGTGGAGGTGCTTTTCATTGTAATATGCGAATTTTGTCAATTCAATGCAAGACTATTGATATATAAACTGCATCATATATTAAGCTGAATAGATACACCATGAAGAAGCAAACAGCCCACGATTGACATCCGCCTGCACCATAGATCAGGCAAAACTGGCTGCCCAGCAGAGGCTACCAGCAGCCAACTTTCAACGTTGACTGTGAGCCTTGGCAGGCAAAGCAGGCAAGGGAGATGGTGGCAAGCCACTCAATAACATCTAAAGGGACGTAATCAATTGCCCACACGAGGCAGTGGCGGACGCAGAGGTGGCAGCAGCAAGAGGGCGGTGCCAGCCACGAGCAGCAGTAGGCTCAAGTGGAGTGAAGGCGAGCAGCAGCTCCAGGCTGCATCAACAGTCCTAAGGTGTGTTGGCAGCGAGCCACCACAGCATGTTGCTTTTGCTGTTGCCGTCGTCAAACGCCTCCAGCTCCTCAATGTTGGCTCGGGCCGCCGCCGGGTCGTATGTGGCCTGCAGCGCCCACGCAAAGCCGCGCCACTCGTCCGTGGTGGCGTCGCCCGCCAGCACGGGCAGCACCCACTGCACCACCTGGCGGTTGAAGGCCGCGTCGGGGAAGAGGCGCGAGAGGAAGGGCGTGATGGGCAGCACCTGGATGCCCACGCGCTTGTCCGTCTGCTCCGCCGCCGCGAACCACAGCCCCGCGTCACGCTTGTTGGCCCACACCATGCCCAGCAGGCGGTTCGGGGCAGCGAAGATTGGGTCGTAGTCGGGGGAGGTGGATGTGGCTGCTGCTGCCAGGGCGGCTGTGGAGAGAAGGGAGGAGGAGGATGATGGTGATGGGAGTGACCCGGGTGCTGATGCTGCTGCTGCAGCTGCTGGTGATGGCGATGGCGATGGCGATGGTGGTGCTGAGGGCGAGGCAGAGGGGCTGGCACCATCACCACTGCCACCCGCACCACCGTCGCCGCCCTGCGGCACCTGAATGAGTGTCTGCGCAGCCACGGCCTCCACAGCCGCCAGTGTGGCGCCCAGGTTCGCCAGGTGCATATCGCCAAACGCCAGGCCCAGCAGCGCCACGCCGTGGTAGCCGTTGACGGCCTCGCTGAAGCTCTCCTGGTTGCGCCCGTCGCCAAACTCAAACAGCCCGCTCGCCCACGAGTGCAGCGCGTACAGGTCAAAGTGCCGCAGCCTCGGGAATGCCGCCGTGGCCCGGGGGGACATGATATCAGAGACTAGGTTGAGCACGGCGTGGCGGTGGGTCATGGCCCATGTGGGGTCGGCCTTTGCCACAACAGCGGCGGCGTAGAGCCAGTAGCCGAAGTGGAAGTGGTGGTCGTTGAAGCACCCCATGCCGAAATCCGCCCCCGAGTCCGCCGCCCCACTGGAGCTCACTACCCCGCCCCATGCAGGGTCGTACAGCAGCGAGTTCCCCTGGAACGACCCGTTGAACCACAAGGTCAGAGCGTCCCGCACCACTGCCACTGCCTTCCCTGCTGCCGCTGTTTCCCCCAGCTGCTCCGCGATTAGCGCCAGGCGGGCGGCGCGGGCGGCGGTCTTGCCGAAGTAGTACGTGGAGGTGATGGTGATGGGGGTGAGGGCGGCGATGTCTGTCTGCAGTGCGGAGCGGAGGGAGGTCAGGAGGGCGGGGTCGGAGGAGAGGCGGGGCGAGTGCCAGGAGGCGGCGAGGGGCGGCACCTTGACGTCCCAGTTGGCCCCGGCCACCCCCACGGCTGGGCCGTCCAGGGTCAGATACACCAGCACGCTGGGGCTTGGGGTTGCTGCTGCGGGTGTCGGTGATGGCATAAGTGATGGTGTTGTTTGCGGTGCCGCTGACTGCGGTGCTGCTGCTGCAACTGCTTCTGCTGCTCCCTCAGCAGAGGCGGCGAGGAAGGAGGAGGAGGAGAGGGCGGCGATGGTGAATGGAAGGATGGGGGTGCAGGGGGGAGGAGCAGAGGCGGAGGCAGAGGCAGGGGCGGAGGCAGGGGCAGATGAAGGGGCGGAGGGAGGGGCGGAAGAAGGGGGGGAGGTGACGGGGGGAGGGGTGGTGGGAGGAGGGGTGACGGGGGGGATGGGCGGATAGACAGGAGGAGGAGGGGTTGGGTTGGCGGAGGTGTAGGCTTTGAGACGCATGCGACGATGAACTGCGGGGGGGGGGAGAGGGAGCAAACAGAGGGAATGGGGACACACAGGATGGCAGGGAGGGAAGCAGAGGGAAGTTGAGAAAGGGGCAGAACAAGCCTCTTCTGGCATTGAACCACGCGGGTTTGTTCGGGATAGAGGCGTCTTCAACTGCTGCTACCACACCCACTCCCATTGCACTGGGCTTATACCACAACCAACCCTTTCCACCACATCCCCACCTACTGCTCCCCACCCGCACTTACTGCTCCCCACCCGCACCTACTGCTCCCCATCCCCAAACCTCCTCCCAAGTCCGATTGGCACAAGAGAACCATTTTGCAGAATCCTGTGAAGGCTTAAGAGGAACCCCCAGCCCCCTGCCCTGCGACCCCCATCACATCCCCATCCGTCTCATCCCCCTCCCAGCGTGCCCATCCCAGGCACTCACTCGGCAGAGCGAGCATGAGCGGCGTAACAGAGCCGTCCATCGTGGCAGCGGCGGGGGAGTCGCTGCCCCACGGCGCCACCTTCCACTGGTACTTGATCCGCCACGGCCGCACCTTCGCGTCGCCCCCCACCACCACCGCGCCTGCGTACGCGTCCAGCACCGCCTCCTCCTCCGCCGGGGAGTTTCCAGGAAGCAGTGCGGCGCGCAGCGTGCCAGTGAAGGGTGACGTGGCAGTGAGCGTGTTGTTGCTGACAGTGAAGGCGAGGGGGGAGGACGCGTAGAGTACCCACGTCTGCTAGGGGTGCACGGCGGGGTGGGGGGTTCAGAGAGTTGAAAAGGAGAATGATGAGAGAGAGAGAGAGAGAGATGCAGCCATTGAAATCGAGGAAGGAAACAAAACTCTTTCTGAATAACAGCAGGAAGAAAACAAAACTCGCACTGAGCAAACTGATCAACACAGGCCAAGGTGCAGTACCTGCCGTTAACACTACATGTATGGATAGATGCAGCACCTGGCCGTTATTGAATGTTATTTTGTGCTTGGTGTGGTCCCCGCTTGACTGCGCATCCGTCAGGGCGTGGTCCGTGGCGATAACCGGGGTGGCGCCCGGCGACGCGAACAGGAAGGTGAGATACGGGCTGCCGCGCACCAGAGGCACGGAGAGCACGGGCGAGGAGGAGGAGGGAGAGGAGGAGGCGGACGAGGAGGAGTAGGCGAGGGTGACGGTGGTGTCGTCGTAGGTGGCGACCTGGTGCGTGGAGAGGCCCTCGAGCGTGGAGAGCATGAGAGTGGCAATGAACGCCTGGCCGTCACGCGGGGGCACGGGGGGTGAAAGGAGAGGGCAAGGCGGGGGGCAGTGAGTTGAAGGGGCCAACGGGGGCGCATGGAGAGAAAAGGGTTCAAGGCGGGTCAAGGGGGTGAATACGGGGAGCAAGGGGTCACGGTGGGCAAGTGGGCAAGGAGGACGATGCAGCAGGGGATTAGCGGGCCAGAGAAAGGCACGATGAAGCGGGGAGGAAACCAGGGGGAGATGGAGAGAAAGAGACGGAAGCGCACGGAGCGGAAGGGATGAGATGGGCAATCATGGGGGAGGGGGGGCCGTGCGGTCAAAAAGGGAAGGAAGGGAATTGAGTGGGACGCATGGGAAGGAAAGACGAGGCTCAAACAGAGAAGAATGGGGAAGGGAATGGGGGGGAAGGGGGAGGAGAGAAGGGGTAGAGAAGGAGAAGGGAACACGGAATGGGGAAGGCGAGATGGGGGCGTAGAGGGTGAGGGGAACGAAGGGGTTCGCAGTGAGCAGAGTGGCAAGCTGATGGCATTGCGGTGGCCGCAATCAGGCAGATGGATCGGTCTCAGGGTCGTGCTGCCGTGGAGCAGCGCGGATGGAGCTTCCCTTCAGCGCGGATGGAGCTTCCCTTCAGCGCGGATGGAGCTTCCCTTCAGCGCAGATGTTACACATGTCAGACCATGTTACGCATGTCAGACCATGTTACGCATGTCAGACCATGTTACGCATGTCAGACCATGTTACGCATGTCAGACCATGTTACGCATGTCAGACCATGTTACACATGTCAGACCATGTTACGCATGTCAGACCATGTTACGCATGTCAGACCATGTTACGCATGTCAGACCATGTTACGCATGTCAGACCATCGCTGATGAATCCTGAAAAGCGCCCTTTGCGTTGGCGCACCCTACCATCCTCCGTTCCTTAGCCTCACCGCCGAACTGCCGGCCGAACCTGGATGATGAATCCCGTACCTGGATGACGAATCCCGTACCTGGATGACGAATTCCGTACCTGGATGATGAATCCCGTACCTGGATGACGAATCCCGTACCTGGATGACGAATCCCGTACCTGGATGATGAATCCCGGCTGCGCGGTTCTCGGCGGCGCGCCCCACGAGATGCGCCCCTCGCTGCTCTTGACGACATAGGGCGGCACCACCTCGGGACTGCCGCCGTCGCCCAGCACGAAGTTCTGCCACGGCGCGTTCGTCGGGTACGGCGCCTGCAGGGGTGCGGTCACGCAAGCCAGGAGAACATGAGATAGGAAGGATAAGCACACGAGACCAAGATTGAGGGCTGTCGAGTCGACTCAGAAGCAGCACGAGGTTCCGCCACGACGCGCTCGTCGGGTACGGCGCCTGCGCGGTGCAAACCAGGAGAACATGGGATAGACGAGAGAAACGGTAGGGTCGTGTGGCGAGAGGGGGCTCACAGAGAGGTTGGCGCTCCACAGGGACGACGGCAGCGGAGCGACCGTCGAGAGAAGCGACGGGAAGGCGAGAGCCATGGTGACGAGGGCGCGCAGCCCGGAGCCTAGAGCACAGCGGCACTGCTGCTACTCGATGAACGGCTTAGGTAAGTCGTGACGCTCTTATTGGGCTAACGATGAGCCGATCTAATTTGCACTCGGTGCCTGCCAAGTCGCGAAAAGCACCCGGTGTCTGGGAACATCAGCGAACGTTTCTCAACGTGAATGAAGAAAACGCGACCCCGATTAGACTCGACGCTCATCCGACGATTTCAAGCAACCGCTGGTTCGAAGGCGAACTTGTTCGAGGCGGATCACCCCGCCTGCTGCCGTATGACTCGCTTCTAAAGCGAAGCAATTTATAGTACTCGCCGCGGATGCGACACGGGAAGTTAAGATCGAGGAGAGGCAAAATCGAGGGCAGCTAGAGCTAGGAGACGAAGTCGAGAGAAGGTCGCCCAGTTGCGTGTGGTTGGTGGGGGGTTGGCCCTCGGAGATGGTTTTCCCGCTCTCCGCACCTGCAGTCAGGCAGGTTAGGTCTTTCGAATGTCGGTGCGTGCTGTGATCGTGGGGGTGCGGAATTGCCACCTCGAAGGACACACTTTCGAATTCGACGGTGCAGATGGATTACCACTATTGATCGAGGGCATTCCTTGAGTCTTGGCAGGTCCTCCCTCTCCAATGCCATAAGTCGTAGCAGCTTGTGATTGGTAGAGGCTGTCCCCGCGCTTTGGGGGGAGCACATGCAAGTTGCAAGCTGGGCTGCGTGTGCGGCTTGTTGGGAAAGAAGCTGCGTTGAAATGACATGGTTGTACCGTACAGCAAGGTGAATATCCTGTAAAATACTGTTCCAAAATACGCTAAAACGAGGAGGGGATAAAATAACTTCACATAAACTATTCTAGGAGAATTGTATGAGAACTCCAAATGATTTTGTAAATTTCAACCATCAAACAAAACAATATCTAGAAAATGTCTGCATTTTAAAGATAACAATACCTTAAGAGCTGGACCCTATTATGCATTTCCTAGAACACGTGCCTCGTCCGCCAACACGAAGGCCCTACCGACCACGACGATGAGAAATCACCTCCCCAATTGTAAACCCCTGCCCCACTCCTCCCCAACTTTTTCTCATACCCCTGTTAAAAGGCTAGATTAGCTAGGAAGCTAGGAAAGGCATGAGGTTTAGCTAGGAGGAGCCATGGAGTGGCGTGAGGTTTAGGAAGGAGAAAAGTTGAGGAGAGAAAAAGGGGTTGGAATAGAGAGGCATACAAGGAGGGGATTGTATCTTCTACAATAAAGTTCGGTAACCTACCAAGCCTAACAATTATATAACTAAATATATAATTTTAACACACCCCCTAGGCTTGGTAGTCACAAGCCCACACACACCCCCACACCCCCTAACCTAGCACCCCCATTCCCATCAGCCACAACGACTCCAACAGGGCCCACAAGGCCTTGGAGATGGCGACGGCGGCAGTCCCGGCCGCGGCGACAGCGACGGCGACGACGGGCGTGCGGCGGCAAAAGGCCTGCGGCGACGACAGCGGCGACGGCGACGGCTTCGGCTTACGACGGCGGTGAGTGCAGCGGCCCCCGCCCTTCCGGCGGCGTGTCCAAACTCCGCGACAGGGGGACGGCCGGTGAGAGTCAGGCGGCGGCTGTGGCGAAGAGGAGGGGACAGAGGAAAGGGGGAAGGGGGGGGGGGCTTTGGATCTTCAGGGCGGCGCCACAGGCGTCGCGCGGCCGGCTGTTGTGCGGGTGGGCAGTTTAGCGGCGCCACAGGCGTCGCGCGGCCGGTTGCAGCCCGACGCCGCCGTCACAGAGCGGCGTCGACGCTGTTGCGGGACGTTGACGCTACGACAGCAGCACGGCGGCCTGACGCCACGGCAGCGCGTTGAGATGGCAGTGGCACGATGCGACCAGCGGCATCACGACGCCGCCACTGCAGCACAACGCGGCCGCCATGGCCGCGCGAGCAAACGAGGGCAAGGAGTACGTGGCGGAAGCGTGAGGAGGCGGTCCAGTAGGGAGGAACTCCTGCTCTAGTACCATGTTAAAAGGCTAGCTTAGCTAGGAAGCTAGGAAAGGCATGCGGTTTAGCTAGGAGGAGCCATGGAGTGGCGTGAGGTTTAGGAAGGAGAAAAGTTGAGGAGAGAAAAGGGGGTTGGAATAGAAAGAGAGGCATACAAGGAAGGGATTGTACCCTCTACAGTAAAGTTCGGTAACCTACCAAGCCTAACAATTATATAACTAAATATATAATTTTAACAACCGCTACCGACTGGGGCGCACATTTGGGTGAATAATACACCTAATTGAGTTTCATTACTTCCTGTAACGAATAGCATGGAGAGCCCATATTGCCATGATGTGTATTGTCTTGTACCAACCATAAACAACCACATCATATGGGAAATGCGGTTTGACTGGACGCTCGCGAACCGCTTTCTTTCTCGTGAAAGTCGCAAGTCGGAAAATACCGTATCCACCCGGATAACCCCCCCCCCCCCCCCCCCCTCGAGGGATAGGACCGTGGTGTCAACTTATACATATATTTGTATGTAGAAGTTATAGGCTAGATAGGTTTGTGTTCTTAGTTAGGTCCGCCCACCCGCTTTCGCCCCTCGCCCTAGCCTACCGCGCCCCGCCGACCCCTAGCGTCCCGCCAACTGCTAACGCGCCCGCCGGCCCCCTAGAGTACCCGCCGGCCCCTCGCGCCCCACGTCGGCCCCTAGCGTGCCCGCTGCCCCTTACACGCTGCGCCGACCCCTCGCATACCCCACCGGCCCCTCTCCCGCCGTGCCGGCCCCTTAGCGCCCTGCCGGCCCCTCGCGCATCGCCGGCCCCTCGCGCCTAGCCGGGCCCCTAGAGTATGCGCCGGCCCCTCGCGCACCCGCCCGGCCCCTCGCGCCTAGCCGGCCCCTCGCGCATCGCCGGCCCTTCGCGCCTAGCCGGCCCCCTAACGTACACGCCGTCCCGTCGCGCCTAGCTGGCCCCTCGTGTCAGCGCCGGCCCCTCGTGTACGCCCCCCCCCCCCCCCCACCCCCCCCCTCGCGCACCCGCCCGGCCCATCGCGCGCCTTGCTGGCCCTCCGCATTCACCAGTCCCTCGCGCGCCCGTCGGCTCCTCTCGTACCTCGCCGGCCCCTCGTTGCCCGCCGGGCCTCAGCGCCTCGCCGGCCATTCGCGCCCCGCCGGCCCTAGACGCCCCGCCGGCTCCTCGAGCGCGCCATCTGGCCCCAGCACTCTGCCGGCCCTTTGCGCCCTGCCGGCTCTGCGGGCCTCGGGCCCTGCGCGCGTCGGGCCCTCCTCGGCTTCCCGCCCAGTCTTCTCGCCAGAGAGTCCTGCCGCCACGCTGCTCTGCCGCCGTGCCGCTGAGTACCTGTATTGTTGTGCCGCTGTGTCCCTGTGCCACTGTGCCGCCGTGCCGCTATGCCGTAATGGACCTATGCCACTACGGTTGCACGATCGCGGACGCCGTACTTCGCCTAGACGCGGAAGAGCACGCGATCCAGTTCGCCGCCCGGCTTGTCGATCTTCGCCGGCACCTGATAGGTCAGCGTCAGGATGGGCACTCCCTGGCTATGCATGTTAATGGCTTGCTTCCCCACCCCCCGGCGCCTGATCCCCTCCCTACTGACCCCACCACTGCTGAGAGTGAGGCCTTTTCTGCTGCTGTACTCGCTCGCGCTGTCTGGGATTCTCGCGATGCTGTAGCGCAGCTCGCCATTAGTCATAAGCTTCCCATGTCTGAGCGTCCACGCTTCACTGCTGTCGCGAACGCCAAGGATTTTCTAGATGCATTAATTGCACGCTACTCCACACACGCCTCCGCCTCTGCAGGCCGCTTGATCCTCCCCATGCTATTCTCCGATCTTTCCGCTTTCCCCACTGTCGCTGACCTCGCCACTCACCTCCGTGCACTAGAGACTAGCTACCGCGCTGCTAGCACTACCGCCCAGCTTACTCACTTCCCCCCACCGTTCTGCGCTACCCTGTACCTTATTGTCATGCGCTTGCCTGACCGCTGAGCCACTGCCCACGACCACTTCCTTAGCCAGCACCCTGGTGATCTCACCCTGACCGCCTTTGTCACTGCTCTGTCTGAGATAGAGACTCGCCAATGCACTATCGCTCAGTCGAGCGGTGTTGCGGTAATCCCTATCTTTCAGGGCTGTGCTCCCTCCCAGTGCACCTATGCTAACGTTTTTGCCGCGATCGCTACGGCTGCCCTTGTCACTGAGTCCGCAGCTGTGGCCTTCTCGCAGCAGCGACAGCGTTGGGGCCATCGCGGCCCCAAGGGAGGGCGTGGTGGTGGTGCTGGTGGTGGTAGTGGTGGTGACGGAGACAGTGGTTCTGACGAGGGGGTTGGGGTTCGTGTCCAGGAGCAGCAGCAGCCGTAGCAGACGTAGCAGCAGCAGTCGCAGCACCACTCGCAGCAGCAGCAGCAGTCGTGGGCCCACCTCCCGCCAGGGTGGCCAGGAGCCCTTGGAGGTGGTGGCCGTGGTGGCGGCCCTCGCAGCTCGGCGTCTACTGGAGGCTTCGGTGCTATGAGCTGCCAGTACCAGCTCCAGACCGGGCCCCTCTGTGGTACTGTGTGCCGTAGCTCGCACCCGACTGCCCGTTGCTTCCGCCGCCTGGACGACCTCTTCCGTCGCCGCTTCGGCCCAGATCCGGACCTCCCCAACTGGCCCAGTCTATTGCGCCACGGTGTGCCTGTTTTTTTACTTAGACATGGATCAGATAAGTTCTGCCTTGCATTCTCTGTATGCTGACGCTTCTAGAGAGTCCGGTCTTATTACCATGTGTTCTCTAGCTTAGGCGTAGCACTTGTGTGTAGTACTGACTCCCCTGCTGCGTCAGGCGTAGGACCGTTTGCGTTGTCTAGCCTAGGCTCTACACTCCCTACTCCTTTGTCTACCGCTACTGCCTCGCTGTCCTTCATACTTGATTTCGATGCGTCTGCCTGCTTCTTCCGCGACCACGCCACACTGACACCGCTTGCCGCGCCTGCTGCTGTCGCACTTGCTGACCCCTCTTCTGGTCCTGTCGTTGCTCGCAGCTACACTATCCTTCCCTGTCTGGCGGTTCTCTTGGGTTCCCTTACAGACCTGCACATCCGTTCGTTCTCCAGGAACTTAGTTGGTGTCGGCTGTCTTCAGGACCTCGGTGTCACCACTACATTCCCTTGTCACGAGCGGTACGCTATCTGTACTGAGGCCGCCTCAGGTTCCCCCCTTGCGATGTTCCCTCGGGACCCGGTGTCTGGCCTGTTTATGCTGGACACTAATTCCCCCCCGTTTGGGGCGTCCTCCTGGGGCCTGCGTCTATCCAAGTCGCTGCTGCTTGCTCGTGTCGATCGCTCACTCACCCGTCGCTTCTGTGGCACCACCGTCTAGGTCACCCCGC